CAGAGGTGATTCAACATGCCTGAACTGACTGGAGGTCATCAATCAAAATCAAGTTTCAGTTTTATTTAAAAAAAAATGTAAGACTTCACAAGAAATCGATGGTGCAATACTTCAGCGGTAGCCAAGAATAAAAGACAAACTTAACATGACTTATTTCAAGTTTTAAAATACTAAACGTGATTTGAATAAAGTTTTAAAATATTAAACATAAATAAAACAAGTCTGAAAATAATACTTGAACTTGAACATGATTTATCTCATCATATTCTGTCATGGCCGTCTTTGCTAACCTTCAAACAAATCTGAGCATGTCACGCCACGCAGCATTTACATGTATTCAAACCATCCTTCTTTCTCTTTGCCCACCTTTATGTAACTTCACACCTGTTTGTGTGCTTACAGGCCGAGCAGCGTGATTCAGGTTAAACATGCCCCACCCTGCTCGTTGCTCATTCACAGATTCCTTCTCAGATTCATTCATAATTCCAGACAGAAAGAGGTGTGCTGCCCTTACACTATGCTGTGCTAAGCTTTCCCACACATACCAGGCAGGTAGGGCAAGGTACAGGGTGATAATGCAATAAAGCCAATAGGAAATATTCTGTTACAGCAGTCATGTGTAATGTAATCTGTGTTAAGAACAGAGAGATTAACAAAGGAACAAATGTGTCTGGCTCACAGGTCTCCTTTAATGTGGCAATCTGTTGAAAAGTCTCTGATGTCTACGGTTATTTTGATTCTTTTTCAACATTCATTAATACTTTGACATTTTTTTAACTCCCTCTAATCTCTTGAAATCTTATTAGAAACAGACAATGGCTCACTGTAATCGTCTTATTCTACACCCTCATCTTTTCTACTAAGATTTATTCCTTCTGCACAAACTGCTTTCTCCCATTTCCCCAAAGACATGCGCTAGGTAGACTGAGCATGCCCCTTTAACAATAATAAAGAAAGGAACAGGGGGGAATACATAGATGTGTTTGGGCCAACAGCTGTCAAAATCCTTCCATATTTCCATCACTGGAGGGATTGGAAGGAGAACTGGCTTTAAAACAATGGAAAATACATTGTGAGACCCACGCTGTGTGTTACTCACAGCCATGGTTAGTCTCATTTCTGGAGGATATTGTTCACCACTCTTCATTTCCTGAGTTTTCCATGAGCCATTTGCAGTGTAAGACAGGTCTTGTTCAAGGAGGAAGTGGCAGCTTATGACTTTTGATTCGGTGCTTTTTCTCAACTATTGCATTCCCTTTTAGGTTCCTAAGCACTTCATTGACTTGCAAATTTTAACATTCTTGGCTTACCATCTCTGCAAAAAACTCGAATGAAGATAACTGAACTATGAATGTAAATTGTGGTTCTCTCTCTTCTAAGGTTAAGCAAACAGGTTTGTCTTTTACGAACAAAATGCATCAAATGCCAATTAGAAATATTGTAAAAAGGCTGGAGCTGCTTGTTGTAGTGTTTATGAACCTGCATGGATTACTTGGCGGGGTCAACTTCAGTAGAGTTTCATGTGAGAAGGTAGAGTGAGGGCCACATGACACCAGTATTAGTGTCTACAATCATACTAATTGCTCTTTGAGGCTGTACACAGTCACAGTGGTGCTTCTGGCTGAATGCTCATTTGCTCACATTAAATGATGTGCTTTTTTCCAGGTTCAGCATCTGATTTTGGTGTGCGAGGACTCTTGCATTGCTGCAAACACAAAGAAAACCTGAGTCTGATGGAAATGTCAGTTTGAACATTAGCCAATGCGTTTATTAAAATTCAGACCTGATGATAGCTGTGGATTAAAAAGTCTTGAAAGTCTGTACCAGCTCAATGGAAATCATCCAGTAGTTGTTTACTCAAAATCACGTCAGGCTCATGGTGGTGCTAGAGAAAGAAGTCAAGGTAACACCAACATCACTGAAGTTCAACCTCTGGGAAACATGACTGTGTCGTCGTAATCCAATCTGAATTTATCAAGTAAATGTTAAGTATTTTAGTTGAGACCAAAGAGGTGCACATTCTGGCTGACTTGATGCTAATAAAGCATAACACTGTACTTCATGCAGCAGTTGATCAACGCAGACACAGGTCTGAATTTGTTCTTTATCCAGTGTCAGTTTAAGTCATTTAGTTCTGCACACAAACCTGCATCAGCAACATAAAGAACCTCTCTATCCCCTCTTTTACTTCAACTCAATCTGGCTCGTATCACTTCCGACCGGGAGACGATGATACAAAGACCCCACACAGACAAACTCATTCATGCACACTCATGTGTTCTCACGTTCATGTAGAGTTTGTGCCAACAGCACCTTCGGGCCAAGACTGGGACTGTGGGTGCAGCTGCAGCTGAGACGAGAGCAGGAAGAAGACTTAAATGTCTGCTGGATGAAGATGAGACGAAATCTTGATTCAGGGATAATCCAGCAGTATAAATAAATGTCTTTGTTCCCCATCAAACGGATCTTTCTATATTTGTTGTTGATACTTGTTTTACACCGTCTCTGTTTCAATAGTAAAAGCTTTATTAAAAGCTTACCTTTCATCTTCATGTCTTTCAACACGACCAGATAAGTTAACTTCACCTGTTACTCAAGTTCAAGTTTGTTTTGAACAACATGGCACAGCCACTTTTTATGCTTCTTTATATGTGTATCAATTAATATAGTTTTTGTAGCTGTTTAGTTTTTGCTTGTAATTGTGTTTATATGTAAATTTGTATATGTGTGAACCACCAACCTGCCATGGGACAACAGATGGAAATGAGTCTATGGCTACAATCTGTCTTATTTACATGTTAATGTTCATTAATGTGCACTGTACCTAATTAAAATAAATCAATCAATGTTTCTTATTAACGGCACACTCAGTTTAGCACACCTCTTTCATTCTCTGGATCTCATCTTCCAGCAGTCCAGGGTGTGACTGCTCAGACATCTGGGGTTACAACAAGTCTACAATACTATTTCTACATATTTCTTAAAGACCAGGATGTAACACTTGCCTGACAAACATTCTTAATATAAAGAATATAAAATGTAAAATGTAAAAGTACTAACACCACAAGTGTAGATTAAGTTTGTGTAAAGTTAAGGCTTTTATTTTAATTTATTATAGTACAAACAAAAGCTGTGGGGTCAGAATAAACTAAGGGCACCAAAGGTGAAGGTACTCATACTGTATTACTGAATAGCCCCTTCTCAAATAATGTATGAGTAATGAAGTATAATCAAACATCCCTTAGGGTCACTTGAGTTTAGCAGCTAGTGAAGAATAAGTTCATTTTAATGACTTCATATCATGATGGGGACTTCTGTATTTTTCCCAAGGAATCAATAAAGTCTTATGTTATATAAACATGATAGGTCTTAATACATCATCATTATTCTTTTGTAGATCTCTTTTTTTCTAAACTCAATCGCTGTAGTGATTAGTAATCAAAATAAAGAGCAAGTAAAAATGCTAGTCACATGCCCGAGGTATAAATTGTATATTTGGTGGAGAAACCGATTGGGAATCTTTTTCGGGGAAACAGTAAGAATGGTAAGTTATCCGTCCAACACCACTGAGCAGTACCATTCCCTTGGCCTCATTACAGAAAGCACAGAAATGAGTGCTGAGACACAATTGGCCTCCTTGTTACTGTGCAGCAATCCTAAATCCCCCACGCAGCAGCTCGCAATGAATACAGTCTTGTTCCCCAGTCTGTAGAGCAAAATCCCTAAAGCTGGAGACATTTTTGATTTCTTTTTTGTTTTTCCTGTTGTGGAGGACGGAAGCTGTAGTAATCAATAGTGCCAAAACACCCTCATACTGTACATTTAATCTGTATAAAAATAGCTGATTATTGGTAAATGTTAAGTGACCTTGTCCTTCTGAACTCAATCTAATCCAGACGCTTGTTTTCTCACAGTCACAGGTTGTCATCTCTGCTGCCATGAGGACAGCAGCACAGACACGCACAGCTGGATGTGTTGATAGATGCATTAAGTATAAGAAAAAGCACTTGTCTCTCAGCACTCGGCGGAAAACCTGGGCTGCTAGGAAAAAGAGCCTTCAACCTCCTCCAGGAAGTTCAGAGCACTCAGCCATTATCTCCCGCAATGCATTACAAGGGTCTCTCAGAGGAGCGTGCATGCTTTCTCTATCTGGGAGACAGAATTCCAGACATTCTGGCTGCCTTGCCTGATGTTTGGCGGACCGTTAGCAAATTCCTGCAGCCTGTTGATCACCAGGCTGGTACAAAGTCACCATGGTGCTGGTGAGGAAGGAAAGGGTCAGTTCCGGCAGTCCGAGGCCATTGGGCTGAGGCTGTGACCGCATACTTCACTCTCAACTTCCTCTGATGATTTGCAAATCATCACCTGGTGCCTAATAGTGAAGGCCGTGTGTGCTTCAGTGGGCAGTCTGGTTGTGCTTTCAGCATTGGACTAACAGGGAAAGTTAGAGAAGCACATACACGTTTAGCAGCTAGAGAAGTTGAGCTGACCAGTGTAACCAGTCTGATGACTAATTGTCCTGCCTTGTTCTCTACAAATGTGTTGACTAGTCAATGAAGGAAGATCACAAGTGTAATTGTAAGAAGAAAAGTAACTTGCTCAAATATATTTTGTGGTATGGTGAATACTGGCTTACTGTCCAACAAGAACAAGGACACTTGAAGATGACACTGTTCATTTTATTAGTTGGGTCTGACTTTTTTTATGTGCAGGTCGGTGACATCTACGATAACTTTACACAGGGCTCTACCTCTACAGATGATCAAATAAATGCATCATTGGTATCCAACCGGAGGATCGAGACCCCTCCAGGAGGTCACAGGATTCATGTCAGGAGATGCTAGATACTTTATAAGACAGGAATTATTTTTTATGCCAAAAACTTTATTTCTTTAACTGTAAACTAATCTTAACTCACTGTATTTTTTGTATTATGTGAGGGGGGCAATCACTTTTCACTGAACTCATGATTATTAAAAGACAGAAGTCAGACCAACACATTTTCATGTCGCACAACTTTAATAGAATATTTTAACTAACTGTACAAATTGAAAAGAAATATTGCGCAAGTAACAAATTGTGAATAAGAACCAGTTAAGGCCATTGCTAGCACACGGTTCAATGTTGTATATTTGAAGATGTCAGCCGTGGCTCTGAGAGATCCGTCAAGATTTACAATCGTTCTTTTAAAAAGAGAAGGGATAGGTTTTCTTCCCATTGTAACTGCTGTCGCTGGCCAGTCACCACATGACCAAAATCCAAGTGCAGTATATAAAATACATTGGCAACCTCCTCTTTTAGTTTTCCACAGACATTCTACTGAATCATTTTACAATAACATAAATATTTATATAGTTTTTAACAACTTTAAATGCTGAATTTGATTAGTGTGTTAATGAGAATTGGCAAACAATTTCATAGAAGAGGACGGTGTGTTTAGTCGTTCATTTTGGCTTGTTGGCAACAGAATTTACATTTATTCCAAACTTCCCGCACACTGCCCCATCACTGACTTGAAAGGACATTTGTTAAGAACTAAAGTTACACTAGAAGTGAACATCCACGGGCGAGTCAGCCGCTGCGTTGGTATTCATGTGTTATCTGTTAAGAGAAATATTCACCAGACTGGATGTGATCGTTGGGCTGGGAAAATCCAACAGGCTGAAATCAACCAATGTGGAGACATTTTCAAATGTCTGAATATCATTAATTGTTCTTCAGGGCTGATGGGTCAAACAGGATAAGAGATCTACATGACAGATTGTGGTAAACCACACATCAGTCACAGTTCTGTGTTCATTCAAGTGCTCAGTTTAAATGCTTGTTTAGCCCGAAACAGCTGGGCAGAATTGATCAGTTTTAAAGCAGAACTTAATTCTTCTACATTTGTAATTCACTCTGATAATAACAAAAAAAACACAACTTGGCAGTATTCACGTTTTGCTGACCTGCTAAGCCCCCACAAAAAAAGATTTGAGCCAATGAGAATGAGCGTATTACTGCAGCTGGGCCTCAGGAGTTCCCAAAATGCACCACTTGATACAGCTGCATGACACCAGAATAAATAGTCTAATGACAAGACAATGAACATTTAAAACAGTAAATTAAATTCAAAATGATACATTGTATGTCTCTTAAAAACACCATAACAAAAGAAAAACACTGCAGCAACCCCAGTGAAAGATTAAGTCAAACTTGTTCAGCAGTTTCTGAGTAAACTTGCACGTCGCTTGTTGGCATTAAAAAACCCTGAGTAACTGATGTATGTCCATGAAAACTAAAGTTGGGATCCATTCCTTTCCTATCTTTTAATCCATATGATGTTTTGAGTTTCTTGGCAGTCATAAGCCTCTCCACTTTACCAAAGAGGACTGTCCCTACGTGATGCCATGGTATTTTATCTCAGTCAAGTCACTTCCTGCTTTGAGTTTGAATGAAGCCAAATAAAAAAGGGGTGAGATGGGCGCAAGACGAAAGAAAAGAAGTCATGCACATAGTAAAAACGCAGTTTGGTTTGCGTTCTATTGCGTTCAGATGAGAGTTCATAAAATGGCGGAGCCTGCAAGATTGGAGTACTTGCTGATTGGCTAAGAACTGATTTAATGGACAACAGGTCTCCATATCTTCTGGTCACCACGGTTACTGCTGTTTGCATTCGGCAGGCTGGGGCTGTTCTTTCTGTGTGGAGAGAAAAAACAGTTAAGCACCCAGGAAGACAGACAGCTAATGAAGCCAACAAGAAGAGGCTAATGACAGAGCAGATGCAGACTAGAGAAAGGAAACTACTTTTTTTTTTTTTTTTTTACACCCTGGTTTGTTACAGCAAAGGGAAAAATTTTTAGAAACCTGAGATAGGGTGACAGAAGGAAGAAAAAGAAAAGCTGGATGGTGTAGGGGGACAGGGATTAAAAGGAGTAGCTAACCAAGATGTGAGTTAAGGATCTTCAACACCTCAGAATACTGGGAGAATCAAGGATGTAGTGGGAGACAAAGGCAGACAGAATACTAAATCAAAGCCTAATGTAGCAGTGTATAATGTAAGCAGGACGCCATCCTTACTTCTCCCTTACCTAGAAATGCATGGGGTGAGAATGATTGATTATGCCTGTAATGGAGGGGAATCCAGGGGAGGGAGAGACAACAACATGCACAAGTTTAATCATCACATTCAGAAATGACAGTGAGACATTGCTGAGGTCAGTGAATGAGCACACTGAATAACTCTTGATGAGCTGACGGCAGGTACCACGAGAGAAACACTCAGCGCCTACAGACACTCACACAGACAAAACATCATTGTTGCTCACCTCTGAAGAAACTGCTAACAGGCCAGGGTATGGACTTAATCACTATCAGACTGGAATAGCTCATAGTGGAGTGTAGTCAGCTCAAACCACAAAATAAAGGCTCTTTCACAGGCTGCTGTTATATCATAATTTGTAACCAATGGTCTAAGACAGATTGCATGACACGACCTCTTAAAAAGTCTGCCGTATGCAGGATTGACTTCAGGTCAGAGCTGGTTGATACAATGTAAGAGCATTCACAGCTCTAAAGTAAAAGCTTTAAACTGCATGTGTAGCTAAAACACACTGTGCTTTCTGGATTTTAAGGACAGATGCTTCACAAGATTTGATAATTAGATAATCACTGCTCAAAAACAATAATGGATGACAAACCAGACCCTGGCTTGTTATGGACAGTTTTCAGTTCCATCTTTGAAACAATCACCCTTTTTCATCTACATTAGTGAAATTACAGATTACTCTGGGGCTTTTTCCCAGCTCAGCCATGTTGGGTCAAGGCAGCACATTATCATGAAAATAAATGGGGCAAACTATGCAGTGTTATGGAAACTCCCATTTAATGTTAATCTCATGGCAGACCATAATTCATTTTTAAGCATGCAACAAGTATTTGCTAAAGAGTGTCTATTACCTGATCGGGGCAAAATAACCTGATGTGCAAACCTTTTATAAGCACCGCACTCAAGGATAAGGCGACTACAAACACTGCTGGAGATGAAGATATGAGTGACAAACTTTCGATTATTTGTTATTTTGATATAAACTTTTATCATATGTAAAACTTGAATTTAATGTAAGCAATACACAGTGGACAGTGTACAAATAAGTTTCAACTGAATGATCCTTCCCTCAAAGTGTTATGCAAAATTTGTTTTCTTTTGTGTAAGACTTAATTAGGTGTATCAATGTGTGTGCAGTGCAAAAAGCAAAATCTCATAACATTTATTGGATAAGCCTCCGCAGCATCGCCCTGTAGTCACAGTAACAAAAAAGAACGACACTAATCATTCTAAAAAACTTGTAAACAGCTGACCAGTCAAATGTAATATCCTCCTCATGACAAAAAACATCTCACTTTTTTACTCTTCCTTTTCAGCGGTTTTCGTTTAACTTTGGATTCTTAACAACATTGATTTTCAGTGAGAAGTTAATGTTGCAACCTTTAATCTACCAGAATCAACCTGATTTCAAAATGAAATGTAAAAGCAAAATAAAATAAAAAGTCAAACATGCAATTAAAAATGTACATTAATTGACAGCCCAAATAGCATTGCATTACTCCAGAAGGCTTAGTAATAAATGAAAGAACTTGACGTTAACTTCAAAAAGTTTGACACGTACATCTTGAGCAGAGCCACAATCTATGATACAAGCAGAAACAAACATTTTAAAATAGTTACTGACCTTGGGGTCAAAGTCTCCCTCATCATCGTCATCATCACCATCCTCATCTTGCTCCTGAGACACAAAGACAAGACGATTCAACAATATTCAAAGAACCCATTCTTTCACAAAATATATACCAGGACTTCTATAATTACATGTTAAAGCTTCAATATGTATGGTGATAAAGAAAGACCAGCTGCCTGGTTTTTAAGAACAAATTAACACTTAAATCAAGTAGTAGCACTAACCTCTTCATCTCCCTCTTCCAGCTCCTCCTCTTCAAACTGTAACAAAACAATTATATTGAGAGTGAACACCCGTGGTACAAAAGTTCAGACAAGATCAGCTTATGTCCTTAAATAATCATTTTAAGCCTGCAAACATCTGATATGGCTTTATTGTGCTCCTGCATCTCTTTTTTGCGTGCTTGTTTAACAGTAAAAAAAGACTCACACTCTCGTCATCCTCCAGGGCCTCTCCAGTGAAATACAGCACCGCTCTGGGAATTATTCTCTCACGGAAGAAATGACCGATCTCAAAGTCTGTGGCTAGGGTGAACTCACAGTCCTCGTCCTATAAAAGAAGATCACAATGAGACCAGTTTAACACAAAAAAAACCCAGAATGACAGTAATAAGAGATGCAATAAAATGCATGGTGATTTGAGGAATAATGAGCTACATTTTACTCACCATCTCTCCATCTGGAGAAACTGTAGAAAAATGACACATCAGCAGTTAGGCAATAATACTCTCAACAAAGTCCTTTACAATGACTATACAAGGCAAAGCAATGCTCATTAAAGCTTGACTGTGGCACATCTTATCTATAATTATTAGTTTGACCAAACAGTCACAAGGGAAGTTACATTTGTCATTTAAACAAAAGCTTTGGGATCCCATTTAAGGGAACGTCTGTGGTTATTATCAATGTCATCATGTCATGAACGGCAGGTCGCAGCATGCATATAGAAGGTGATAGGCTCTTTACAACAACAGCTGTGCTCCACCCCACTGATAAAAGGTGACATCATCTATTCCTTCAGCTCCTCCCAATACAGCATGATTAGAGACTGTGTTTTTAAAGAAATTCAAAAATATATAGAGCGAGCAGGCCTTTTTTGGGAGTTAAAGAGTAAACTTACAGTCTAAAAACAAACACACAATTTCACACAACTAGCAAATACCTGTCCGTCTGATTTATTCGAGATACCCTACTCTCAATGAAGTATTCCATTGAGTTTGTGCCAACAAAGAATATGTTTTTGAGAAAAACACATAATATTTCCTCAAAACTTGATAGACATACAACCGATCCCAAAGCATGCTTTTTCTACAAGGACAGATGTAGATATGACAAGTTGTTATCATGTTGTTTTGCTTCTGTTGCCATGATGAAAAATGAAAAAGACAATTTTCTCACAACACATATCCACAGACTACACAGCAGTTAAGTTACATGTGCTCTTTTCACATGATCAGAGAGCGATGGCTTATTCACTATTGGACATCCAAACACCAGCGCTTCACACCTGAACACACTTGTCAAGGAGCTATTTATATTCACCACTTATATACTGAGGATGTGACTGAACCAGTAAGGCAAACATTAGCTCAGCCAATTAGGTATCAGGTCAACTTGTCAAAGTCAGAATAGGTCCCAGCATGTCAGCCAGGTACCATGACTACCGTATTTTCCGCACTATAAGGCGCACTTAAAAGCCTTTAATTTTCTCAAAAAACGACAGTGCGCCTTATAATCCGGAGCGCCTTATATGTGGATCAATTGGTTAATTGGTTGATCCATACTGGTTGTACACGGCGCTCAGCGACACTGACTCGGATAATGACGAGAAGGAGCCGGGCATTTTGGATGCCGTACTCGCCCAACTGTTCAATTCGGACACTGAAGAAGAAGAATTCGAGGCATTCGTGGACGGGGAATGAACTGAAAAAGTGAGCTTTACGTGTTATACGTAACTGAACAATGTTGAACGTTTGAACATCGTTACCATGGGAGTGAACGAAGTTGTCAGAACGCTTAATAAAGTTTGACTTTATCTGACTGTTTTGTTGACATTCCCTTTAGCACAGCTCCATCTAGTGGATGCATAACGCAACCCCAGTCAAACGTTTGACTGCAGTATCTTCTATTCTATGCGCCTTATAATCCGGTGTGCCTTATATATGAAAACAGTTCTAAAATAGGAAACTCATTGAAGGTGCGCCTTATAATCCGGTGCGCCTTATAGTGCGGAAAATATGGTACACAGGAGAGAGGACACAGTCATTGAATTCAGCGTGTTTGCTGCCTAACTTGTTGATGTTTTAAGAGAAAAAGAATCATCAAGTTATTTGATTTAAGGGATAAACCTTGAAAACAAAAACGTAAAGGGCTTGTGTAAAGCACTCCATTTGTGGTTTGTTGTCTTAAGTTATTGAATATTTAATTTTTTTAAAGCACTTGTTAGGTGTACTATATATAGAGTACACTTAAGACTTGAAGAATAAATGTTTCTTCATTTCAACATTTGTGCTAAATTTTTAATTCAGTTTAGTGAGAAAACCCTCATGTACATCATCACTGAACAACAGAAACACTGACCGATCTGTGTGCACAGATGAACACTGAACAATCTGACAAGAGTCTGGCGCCACTTGCTGTTGAAGTCAGCTAAATGCAGTGACAAATGGTAGAAGCACATGACCTGAATGTAAGCATGTTATCGCCCCGCCTGCAGGAATCACAGACACATTGACTTTCAAGCAGACATGTGTGAGTGTTCAGTGATTGGAGTTTGCTTAAGGGAGTTTGTGAACAGCGTGTGTACACAGCTAACAAAGCAAAGCTGTGATTTAAAATGTGAGAGAATCATACAGGATTTGTTGAAGTGAGAGTGATTTTTTAATTGAAGCTTAAAAGAAAGCCTCATAGTGGTGTGTGCATTTTTGTGTGTGTTCTCACCTTTAATAGGGTTAAAGAAGTTGAAGAAGGAGTCGTTGGGGACCTGTTTGGTCACAGTGCGGACGGTGCCACGGCCTTTATGCTTTTGCTTTTTCTTTATGGTTTTCACCGTCACATCCTTCCCCTTGTGCCAGTCGATCTGACAGCTAGAGAGAGAAGATGAAAAAAGAAGTGAGAGGCGGCAGAAAGTAAGAACGCAAAAAAGGTAAATGTTGGAAGAAATGCCAAGAGGAGGCTGATATGTGGGATGCTAAATCAGGAGAGATTAATATAGCAAGAGTGAAGAGGAATGTTTTACAAACTACACAACTTCCCCTTTAAAACTCAGCACCACAAGAGTCAAAGCCACGATTTAACAAACATGTTTGTGTTCTCCAGCTCTCACCCTTCACAATCAATGATCTCTGGACCCTCGAATGAGAAGGGGTCTGTTGTATCAGGTTCTGACTTCATCTTGTAGACCTTAGTGAGGACTGCATTGTTGAAGTAGCCATTGGGCTCAAAATGAAACTCTAATGTGAAACTCTGTAGAAGAAAGACAAATAAAGATACATTTTTTCATTCAGCAGTTTACCTTTATTTAGTTTATTCGCAATAATTGATGATACTGACCATTGGCTGTCCTGGTTCAGAAAACTTGACTTGAATATCTTTCAGGTGCTTTAGGATGGGCTCATCATGTTCCTGTTTATACATGAAATAGATCAGGTCAGAGACACTTCTCAAATGTGTGTGTCTAAGGCTCAAATATAGTTGATTTAAATGTACCTGTAGCATGTCACTGAGCATGTCCACACTCTTGAATATGGTGAGCCAGAACTCTGGGATGCCTTTGGGGTCTTCCTGTGGTGTGGCTTCCTCTTTCTTTGAATCCTCAATAGCTGCTTTTTCCTTTACCTCCTCCTAAGAAGCAAAGCAATAATCAAAATTCACTGTCACTGATTAGAAAGTCTGAACAATTTAGTTTGTTAAGCTTTTAAGAAGACTTGTTGAGATCCAGGTCTTTTTCAGGAAACATCTCATTTGTGCAGAGAAATCAGATACCATCAAGTTCAGAGAAATACTTTTCAGTGTTTCCTTGACTCAAGAGGAGTATTTAAATACACCATGGAGGGAAAAACTTTGGACATTAAGTTTGTTCTGAGAACTCTCATATTTCATTGAAGGTTACGGTTACTGTCTGTTTGTGTATATCTTGCGTATCTCGACCCCAGTGACAAAGCGTTTAGTCTTCAATCTTTGCTGCTCCTGTCTTGTACGCATTTAAGAAATGTTTTCTGCTGAAAGTCTCATCCTGGTTCATTTAATGGTAAAAAGTATCAATCAGTAATAATAGGCATTAAAAATCACTACAGGAAAATATCAGACTTATTCCTGACAGTCTTGTTTGCTTTTCTAGGTTTAATATAGTCGTATTAAAGCAACAATAGGAAACTTTTCCATCTTAAAATAGAAGTTTCAAAGTTGATCTAAAATGTACAACTTTCAACGGTCAGAATAGCATCTCTCTCATGTCCACAGGACGCCATAGTACTCTGTAAGTTTGGCAGCAGGCTGTGGTTCTCTCAGAAGAAGTGCCAGTTAAACCTTCTCTGTACTTTTAAGATACAACGGCTGAAGCTAAGAGACAGAAGATGACAGTGGCAGATGAAGATAAGAAGAGAAAAAGAGATGAGGCAGAGTGTACATCCCAGCAGGTATTTTCCATAACAGATCTCGACATTATCGATGTCTCGTGTTTAACAGCTTTCCCGGGTGCAAAAAGTCAATTAACCCAAGTTATGTCTTAGGCTTGCATACAAATAAATAAATCCATCTTGCCCTAAAAGTTATATCAATAACGGGCTATAGAGGCTTACAGCGGTATATTTGTGCAAAATCTGGTAACAAAATCTTGTCAGCCGACATTTGTCTTTGGCTCTCTACGACATCTCTCCTCTGCTTGTCAACAAATGCACGTTGTCTGTGAGGGGGAGAGGTGGGGGAGGCATAACAACACTGTGGGTTTTACTAAAGTGCAGTTACACTCAGAGACCTTTAACTGGAACCAAACCAAGTTCCTACATATTGTCACTTTAATTCCAGCCTGTTTCACAACCATTTAAAAAATCTGGTCTCATCAGTCTGCTATAGTAACGTACTTGAATTTACCAATACAATTTTAAATCATGATATAAGTTCAGGCTGAAGTTCTAAGGGAGAGTGCTAGTATTATTTAAGAGAAGAAAACTTTTGTGGTTGTAATACAAATCATTTACTATTACGTTGAAAAAAGAAGTATTAGTTATCAGGCTGTACTTACAGCTAGCTCCTCCTCTTCCTCTCTGTCACTGTGCCACTCACACTCTTCATCTGTGGGTTCCACTGTTCCTGTGACTATATCTCGTCTCTGTAATGCACACACACATAAGACAAAATGTTAGTCATTAGAGGAGATGATTGGGATATATTGTAGTAAAATATTTGTAAATTAACAAGCATTCATTTGATAATACAGAATTTTTTCAGCATGCACACTGAGATTCACGTCATTTGAGAGAGACTTACACACACACACATTGACACATATATACACAGACAGGTGCAGTAGGCTTGCAGCTGCCAGTCTTCACTGTGACTAAGAATGGCAGAATTCTTGTCACTCACTCTGGAAATAGCCTTGACTGACAAAAGAACAGTTGACTACTCGTTGTAGCAGTTTTCAATTTAGCACTAAGGATGCATCCTTAATGACCTCAGATCAGGCCAGTAAGACATATTTAACCACCCGATAGTGCAGGAAACAAGAAAAGGGATCCTTAAATACAAATGAGACATTCATATCATCTGATTTTCAAACACTTTTGACTGTTTGTCTTAACGTAAAAAGACAGGTCAGGGGTGACAGCCAAGAAAAGCAAAGGAAATGTTATTTTTTTTATTTAAGGTACCTTCTCAAACAGTGGCTGATAGAGGGCAGCATACTTCCTCTCAAGCTCATGGACCTCCTCGTAGAATTTAGCCTCTATGTTGGCACATTGCACCTGTAGCCTTTTCAAGGCATGAACTCGCCTCTTCACTACTTTTGGAAGCATGCTATTGGAGAACAGAAAAAATTAGAATTAATACGAATTTAACAATTAAAAGATAAACATACCACTCAATCATAAGATAGCAGTTGGGACATACTGTACGTTGGAATTAATTTGATTGGATTTTTAATTTGTGGAAAAGGTTTGTGAAAGCCCCTTACAGGATGAGTGATCAGACATTAGAAACATTTAACAGGAAGAGGAAATATGGTTATTTTGTTGTAAACCTCTCAGAAAATTCTTTACCTGAAATTGAAAGTTGGCTATTGAGACCAAAACTAATGATTTCAAGTCAAGTCCAAATGTGTTTCAATAAAAATAGTAGTATTCACATAGCATAAGGTGAGAGCCAAAGTAGTTATATCATCAAGTTTTAATTTAAGTTGTTCATCAACTTATGTCAACAAGAGCATATTGTAACCATGGCAATACATCAATTTCAAACTACAAATTCATGCAAGAAAACACAAAATAAACCATCTGCACTGACCTTTCCAAGAAGTGGAAGCTGACAGGTTTGTCCATCTGCCCACCTGGAGCTTGCATCCCTTGATCCCCTTTACCTGCTAAACCAAAAGACTTGCAGGTAAGTAATGCAGGTACCTCACATTATAGCGTTCACTTGTTGTAATGTCTAACTATGATGTGACCCATGACTATGTAGAAGTCAATCTTAAAACTCAAAAAATAACTTGTACAACAATGTTTCATGATCATTTTGTACAGTAAGCTTATTTTAAAATACCTTTGTCTTTACCTTTAGTGGCGTCCATTACCGAGTGGCAACTCCTTCCTCTGACAGAAACACATGATGTGTATTAGACATTTGTTTTTACAGAGTCACAAACTGTGACATCGTAAAAACCCACAGAACCAGAAACGGGAGAGAAAACCCCGCAGCAGGGTGTCGACAGTCATTTATAGTGACCTGTGTGTGAGTGAGTTTTCTTTACGTCGCACAAAAATCAACACTGTCTCAAATGTAAAATATGTGGTTAAAGATCAGAAACAAGCTGACACGTGTATAAAGCAGACAGAGGCAGGCAGACAGACAGACAGACAGAGACAGACAGAGACAAACAGACACAGACAGACAGACAGAGACAGACAGAGACAAACAGACAGACAGAGACAGACAGACAGACAGAGACAGACAGGCAGGCAGACAGAGACAGACAGAGACAGACAGACAGACAGAGACAGACAGACAGAGACAGACAGGCAGGCAGGCAGAGACAGACAGAGACAGACAGACAGACACAGACAGACAGACAGACAGACAGACAGACAGACAGACAGACAGAGACAGACAGAGACAAACAGAGACAGACAGAGACAAACAGACACAGACAGACAGACAGACAGACAGAGACAGACAGACAGGCAGGCAGGCAGGCAGAGACAGACAGAGACAGACAGACAGAGACAGACAGACAGGCAGAGACAGACAGACAGACAGACAGACAGAGACAGACAGACAGAGACAGACAGACAGACAGAGACAGACAGAGACAGACAGACAGACAGACAGAGACAGACAGAGAGAGAGACAGAGACAGACAGACAGACAGACAGAGACAGACAGACAGAGAAGCTGACTGATCAGCACGCTGCTGTTGAGTAAGCGCAGGCCGATGACGCACTGACACGCTAATAGCAGCTGGGCTACAACCAAGTTAGCATCTCCATTAACATTAATTTAAGTAACAAACGCTGCCACTGACAGCCACACATGACACTTTATAAAACAATAACAGCTCAAGCTACGCCGATACATCAACAGGGAAACACTAATAACCATCTACTGTGGGCGGTTCATAAATGTAGCAGCAGCTAGCTGAGCTACAAAGTTAGCAACAAACTACGAGTCAACGTGCCGTGAACAAAGATGTCAAGTGCAAAGGTTAGCAGGTTAACCCTTTGTGTTCGGTTGGTTCTAAAGGAGGAAAGCGATCGTTTTATGTGTGGTTATAGCAAAAGTGTGGTACCTTTCCGTAACATAGTTAAAGTGGTGATTAGGTGAAGTTAACGCTACACATGCTAACCTCCTGATAGCACTGAAGCTAACACAAGCTAGCTAGCGTTAGCTTTAATATAGCGTCGCGAGTGATGACACACTGTTCACTAAGTGTCTGTCAGGTTAGTCAGAGAAGGCACGATGTTCACGATTAACGCCGTCACAGAGTAGCAGCTGGCTGTTAAAGTATTTTTTGAGCTAGCTGTTTAGCAGTCTCACCTCGAGCTGAGCGGAATCCTACCTGCTAGTCGCGCGAGCAACACACGCGCTTCAGCATCCTCGAGTTTCATTGGACAGCTGTCGACGTGTTGCGTTCAGGTACGATGCGAAATATCCACTGCATGGCACACTTGATGTATTCTTTATTATTATTATTATTATTATTATTATTATTAATAATAATAATAATAATCATTTCTGCTTTTTAAAACAGAAAAAGAAAATATGCAAACAAAATCCAATTGTTGGCCTTATTCTTCCTGTACAACCATATTGTACAAAACAAGTTCCAGAGGAAAATAAACCACAAATAAACAAAACAAACCGATTTTAACCGTGTGGGATTAATGCAGAAATAATATGAGCTATAGGCCTACTTTTCAAAGTCAGAGCGATTTTGTCTTCATCTTGGATAAGGGAGAATTATACATACACACCATTGCAAATCCCTTCCACTGAAATCCGAAAACTGACTGCCATATTTGAGGTAAAATATTTATTGAATTTCATCTAGTCGTTCGGAGTATAAAATGTAGTTATTCGTTGTAAAATTAATCTCAAGGAGGTCTAAGAGACATTGACTTTAGAGGGGATTTAAGCTTTTAACAAGATGAAATAGATATTGGTCTAAAGCTTTATGCTGTGAGTTCTAGTGAGTCTGTGAGACTAAATTTATTCAGGCACTTTTGCACTTTTGTTAAAAAAACCACAGAATCTGACATATCATGTTTGACCACAAGGGGGTTTCATATACCCATGCTTCATAGAAGAAACGTAGAGGGGAAAGTGAATCTGCTGGGGTCTCAAAGAACAGAAAGGAATTCTTATTTTGCACTCAAGTACAGTCGACAAGTGATGTGCGTGTTGTTTGAAGCTTGTTTATTCATGTTTTTCTTCTCCAAATACTATATTTCTTCTAATTTATTGAAGACTCAAAAGTGTTTTCACTCTTCCAAGACATTTTGACAAGATGGCAGGAATGCTATGTTGATTTTTATTCATACACCGCAAAATAGCTTATAGGCTACATCTTTGTTATGAAACAACACATTGTTAAACTATGTTTGAGGAAGTGCATCAACAAGCTGTTACCTATGTGCAACAGCAAGGCAGTGGGACAAAAGTTATCATTTACCTGCGCTGTCAAATAACATCATATTCACACACAGTACTTCACTGATCCAGCAAGTTTTTATTTGTCGGAAATTTACTTGTTGCAGAAGTAGCCCTATAAGTTACAGACGTTAAAAAAAAGACTCTTTCTTTCTGTTTACTATCAACCACTGTGTTGTCTGCACACTTGAGAGGAAGTGACAGCACTGCAGTCCCTCAGGGTACGATTGGTGACCAGGCTTTGTGCCTGTCAAAGTGTGACATTTACCAGCAGGTTCTGTTCCAAGAGAGGTAATCAAATGTGATTGTGTAGCATTTAGGACGAGCTAGAGATCATGAAACAAGTGTACTGTTGCTAATTTTGGAAATGCATTATTATATTGTTTTTTTTATATAGAAACAGTGACTTAATGTACACTAGATCAGCATTTTGACCTTTGTGAGATGTAGAATTTTAGTTGCAGCTAATAAATCAAAGAACAGAAAAAGGCTCTGAATTCAGTCTGTGAAAGCCTTTGATAGTTTTGTGACCCACTGCGGAAGTCTTTGTTGAAGTGACTGCGATACTGTTAAGACAATAGTAACACCTGCAGCTGTAACACAAAGCTGTAGCCTACTTTACAGCTTCAGTTTGTCAGAGAGACAGACTCCCAGATTACCCCCCACCCCCTTCAGACTGTTTCTATACCCCCTGAGTGGGCAGACACACACCTGGCTACTGAAACGATGTGTGCTCTGCATTTCCACTGGTCTATATTCTATCTATCTATACCCTACTACGCTAAGATAGCGTAGCTGCCTGCATGGCTGAAGTTAAAAAGAGTGAACAAACAAAAGAACAAATGTTATATTTAGTTGTAAGTCATGCCTATCTCTCTATCTATCTATCTATCTATCTATCTAAATCTATAAAATAACAGTTGTAAGCTGTCTTGTCTAACTCATATTTTCTCTTCCTTAAAATAATATGTTCTCTGTTTGTCCATTCTGGAAAACGTGACCCTCCCCCCATTGCTTGTGATTAACTTCCTGTTTATCCATCTGAACGTCTTTTTTTAAAACCCATTACAGATTGAAGATAAAGGGACGACATATGTTGTTTAAGCGTTAAATCCACGGAGACAAAAATCAGATTTTGTGCTATATAAACCAAATTGACATGACTGGGAAAGGCTGCTTGTATGATCCAGCAATATTTGATCCTGTCTGGATTTCTAACAGATTCTTCTCAGTTTTAACCCCCCTGGAGGCTTTTTACTGATATGAAACATTTAGAATTTGCATAATTTTACCATCTTTCCTTTGGTTTGTTATGCTTAATTCCCATATTGGAATATACACATTACTAATCAACAGGTATAAATGAGTGTGTCTGTTTAACTTGTGAATCATGAGGAAGCTGTCTCCTTGTCTTTACAGATACATGCTGGTAACGGCCCCTGTGGCCATGAATAGAAATGATTTGGTTTAAAAGATGAATTCAAGTTTTGATCTTTGTATATAAATGTCATCCCTTTTTCACACATTGGAGAATCAGTTCCTCAGCACTGATTGGTTGAATGTTGATTTGTGATTCCGACAGGCCCATCAAATAATCAGAATGTCCTTTAAAAGCCCTGATCAATATCTTTTTCTTTGGAAAGAAAAGAAGTGTTCTTTGTGTTGCCTTTATTGCTCATGGTCTGGAATGAGATAAGTCTAGACTCCGCTTAGGTGGTCCAGGCGTTGCCCCTGTCGTTCTTTCTTGTATTTTGGTCTTTTTCTTTTCTTGTGTCTTTGTTTCTCGCTTGCACAAACACACATGCTCACTCACAAAAAAGAGAAGGAAAGAATTGACTTCCTCCTGGAAGTGGATGTCATAATAGCCCTGGTCTGTTTTCTGTTGATTGAACATGTAGCAGCAGCGTCTACGTGGGCCCATCTCATCCCACTGGGGTATTGGTTTTGTGAATGAAGTGGCCAAACTCCCAGATGGCAGTATTGATATGGCTGAGAGGAGAGGGCTGTGTGCACGAGCCATCCTGCCCCTGCATCCTCTGTCGTCCATTAAGCTTCTCTCCTCCTAACGCATAGGTAATGGCCTATCCGTACACCATAATCAGACAGACACACACTGACAGTAAAAAGCCATCAAAATAACACACACAAACAAGCGCACACACAGCAAGCGGCCACATTGACACAGCTGCAGTCTTTATTCATAGGAGGAGGTCTTGGGTGGGGAGAAAGGGGTAAAAAATGACAGGCAGAAAATGGTTTATCTGCTCAGAGGTGGCTGCGTCAGAAGGCCTCGTCTGCGTAACAAATTTAACAGATTCATCGATCCAACATATGCCAGGACGAGTCTCTGCTCGTGCTTTTACGCGATTTAGGTGCAATTTACTTTCATCTGCACCAATAAGCAATATCCGTCATGACATCTCGTGTTCTTTTTGCGATTTGTTGTCCTCGGCTGTCTCAATCATTCTGATTCTGCAACAGCAGTTAAACCTTTTAGCCACCAACAGAAAGAACTTACACCTACGATCACACACATATGCACACAATCAAATATTTTGTGTGTATACAAACCAGTAATGCCTGTTTTCTCCCCTCTATAATTTCAGCATCCAATTTTTGACAACAAAAAGGGTCTTCTTAAGTTTTGTTTTTTGGTCAAGGACACATTGCCTTACAACATAGACATGTTTAAAGGACTAATCCTGCAAATATACCAAATAATTCAGTCTTTTAATTTCAACCACCAACCACTGGCCTTCGCACAAAGGAGTTATCAATTAGACTGCACCATAATTAAGCACTATTAAGCGCAAGTGGCGGATAAAAAGTGTCCTTTGCGCGAGCTGCAATTGCCCGTGGTCTGCATTGTTGTGTTAGCAGGCTAATGTTAGCACACTTTGGCTAATTCATATTTAATAAATATGAGTATATTGCACATAAATTGACACGGAATGACCGTGATCTAAAGATACTTACATTACATGCAAATAAGCAGTGAGTAGTTATTCTTCTTTTCTCTAGTCCTTGATTAAAACAGCTTTATATGCAGAGCCGTCCCGTCCATGTCAACATGATGTAAACACGGCACTGACAACAGTAAAGCTGGCGTGACTCACGCTTCTCACTCATTGTAGACAGTCATGACTCAGAGACATTTACAGGATATACAGGTAATGAAGTAATGAAGCAGACAGGTAAGCAGCCACAGGTGAAAATACATAAACCATGCAGGATACACATAATGCAGGACAGACATGGAGCAGCATTGAGCAGACATAACAATGTACAAAATGAAACAGGTATTAGTAAAAGCACGTATCCAATAACCTACTAAAGTAAATGTAACGTGCACACAACAGGACAACATTTAACACTAGTATACAATAAACACGTACAAATTACATGAGGCCACATATAAAACAATGAGTGAGCTATACCTGAAGGTCCCCACAACAGACAACTAATGCATGCAGGCCACATTAATTAAAAACACAAGACATATTCACCAACTTTGAGGACAGTCTTAATATTATGTTCACTTTTTTGACTTTCTTTTGTGTGTGCATTTAGACTAATTGCCTCTCCGTCATTCATCAGTACACCATTTCACTCTTTTCTGACTCTTACTTTGCACAATGACAATCTTTTGTAGCGCTATTAAATATCATGCACTTTAACAGTATTTGTATGTAGCAAACATACTAGAAGACGCTTAGTTGAGAAAAGTTAAGGCAAGGTGAGACAATATATCAAAACTTTATTTCCGTGAATATTTGTGATTAAAGTTCTATCTAATTCAGGATTGGTCAACAAAAGCATAAGAATTGCAGAAAATGAAGTTGTAACAGTACATGGGTTTATCTGAGCTCCAGCTGCTTTATTTTTTCGACATGAGCTTCGATAGCTCGTCCCTCCAGGCTGCTGAATGACAGCGGCCCATTATGAGTTGATCTGATTAGGAGTCTCTCCAGCCACAG